ATTACCCAAGTGCAAGTGATTTTATATCGGCTGTTGAGGAGAAAAAAAACCCATGTGTGTGTCTGTGTGTGTGAGAGTGTGTGTGTGGGGTTGGATTGATATCAACAAAAAGAGATAAAGAGGGGAAAAAATGGGAAAAGCTCATTATTAATATAGTGTGTGTGGATAATTAATATTTGCTGAATGATTGGAGAGTCCGATGTGCACACATGAACAATTTCAAACACAGACTCATTCCTGTCATTTCCTGAGTGTGTAACTCCATACTTTTATTGAAAGGTTGTATGTATGCTAAGTAGCAAGTCTGTTGCATACAAAGAATGGTACTTTTACTTAACAATCATTTTACCATTGGTATGAGATAGTGATGTATGATAGCTGTCGCCAAAGTAAGACATGCAAAGTGTGTGTGCGTGTGTGTTTGTGTATTACTCACTGATCTGGCAGCGATCTCCCAGTGCTTGGAACTGAGCACAGTCACACACACCACTCTCTTGACACCAGCCGCCATTGAGGCAGCCGCAGTATTCTGGGAAAGACACAATCAAACCCAAGTTGTGCCCATTGTGTATGTAAAACTGTCTGTTAAATATTTTGTGTGCTGTCCTGTAGACTATCCTGTGAGGTTTCCTGTAACTGTACATTTGTTTTGTGTTTTTTTTAGGATGACATTAAACTGTTGTGCTTATTCTGGCATTTACATTGATGCATATTACTGATATGTGGATTAATGTGCACTGTCCCAATTTAAAAAAAAAAAGTGAATTTAGTCAGTCAGTCTTGGTAATTATGGTTTCATGCTTCCCTGAGTGCATTTTGGGCCACCTTAAAGACAGAAAATTTACCTGAAGAGGCATCTCTGGCTGTGTAGTTGTGCAAAATGCTGCGTGACAGAGTATTTTCCGACAGCAGTGGTCTGTATGTCTGGGGAAAAAATAAAAAACACACACACACACTCAGTTTGGTTGTATACAAAATTCTCAGGTATTAATAGCCTCGGGGTGCTGATACAATTGGTGGTGTACCTGTAAGTTAAAAGTTGCGTCAAGTTGAGTGAGAGAGAGAATGCATGTGTCAGTGAGTGTGTCTCATTTCTTTACAAAGACATCTTTGTGCCTGTTAGGGTGTTGTGCGCATGTGGGTGCCCTGACCTCCTCTGGTTCTCTTAGGTGTAGTGTACCCACCTCCTCCCCAAGGAGATCCCGTTTCCTCCGAAGTGCATTAGCCCTTCTGCACACACACAAACATGCACATTAGTGGAGAGAAACAGTCAGAGGGGAGACTTTTAAGTGCACTTTACACCACTTGAATCCAGACTCCAAGATACTCCTTACTGAAGCTTCACAAGCACACGTACACACACACACACCCATATTCTGTCTCTTTTACACACTCTAGTGACAGCAAGTGTAAATGCAATAATCACTCGCAGCCAATAAGCTTGAGGTATTCATTCACACATTATTACTTGTATTTTAGCCTCATTATTAACAAAAGAAAAGTGTTCATTGAATTTCACTTACCTCTGAAGTCTTCCTTCTGCCCCGAAAAGTCGACTCTGAGCTCCTGAAAAGTTTACACAATTAACATTGAACAGAAGTAATGTGCCAAACAAAAACAACAACATGAAGGGGTATGGAGAGTGGTTAAATAAAGTGTTTGCATTATAAAATTAATAGGGAGTTTAATAGCCCTTACAATGATGTTAAACGTTGCTTACAATAATAATATCTTTGAATTGGACTTAAAAGACTATCAAAAACAGTTTGGGAAAACACTGTCAAACTCACCCTCAAGTAACAGCAAGTGGGAGACTGAAAACGACACGAGAAGAAATCGTTCCACTGTCCACTTTAAGTTCATCTCAGAGTCCGAAAGAAAAAACCCGCAGAAACGTTAACGGTGCATCTCACTTGTCCCGGGAGGAAAGGATAAAGGATGTTTGGTAGCACCGGGACGATGCTCGGTCCTGACTGTAAACCTACCTGGTGGCGACAGCCCACCTGAGCAGGTGACGAGTAGCATACACCTGTGTGGGCAGGTGAGCCAGCACTGCCCCTCTTTCATTCCGACATCCTCAGCTGGCTGACAGGCTCGGGGTCCTTGCCTCTGTTATCCGTGTGCCGGTGTAATATCGAATAGTGCTACCCATCGAAATGCGCAATACAGGGAGCATTATTTGATAGGGGCTTCTATGCTTCCTCAGAAATCTTAAATATAGAGAGTAGGCCCATAAAAAACATTATGCTTTTTGTTTCCTTGAGTATTGGCTTTCAAACAGGATTCTGTATTGGGGGTTATTTGATATAATTGCCCTTAGAGATACGTTTTAGCAGACAAATGCTCAGTGGGACTTCTGACATTAGTCACAGGCGACTCATATAATACACACTCATATAAGTACACACACACAAACAGAAAAAATGCATACCCATGTCACGATGATGGTTTTTATGCATTGTTGTTTAGTTCTGAGTGATGTCTTCTTGTTCAACAGGGAGAGACAGGTTGAATGAAACCATTGTATAGTTAGAGTGAGAACAGCAATGGACCCAGTACAGACCCCTTGTGGAACCCCACAATATTAATGATAAATCTGTCTTTAGAACAGGGAATTCTAAGGGAATTAAATTATCCCAGCTAAGTATAAACCCAGCCAAGGTTCATGTGATGATGCTGTTTCTTAAAGGACAAAAAGTTAGAAGAGGAACTGATACCTTTTGGGCCGTTTAAACCTTATTATTACTGAGCTGTTTCAACTGCTGCACTTAAAGGGGGCGCTGTCTACAAGACCAGTCTTGCAGACCTGGCCCAAATTAATGCCTCTGATATGTGTAAGCTTTCCATCATACAAAGTCCGTTGATAAAAACATCCTAGTGAAATAAAACTTCTGAAAAAAAATCTCTATATTTTTATTTTAAGTAGGTTTCAGTACTACTCCCTGGAGGGTCTTTAATTCACTCATCCACATTAACCTGTAGTTATCTGCTCCAATAATTGGTGAAGATAGAGACCAGGGAACATGGACAACACTACAAATTGTTATTTTTGCCTAAACATTCATCGTACTGATGCATGATCACAGCTGTGAAATGGACAATTATTATGTTCTCTGCATCACAATGTCAATACAATCCTGTTTGAAGCTTCAGCTTGTGTCGGGTGAATGGGACCTTTACATAGTGTTTACAGGTGAAGGCATAAGCATGATATAATTGGCTTGCTGTGATGTGTGCATGTCAGTTCTTATGCATTTATGATAGCTAATCAGGCTTAGTGAAGCTGGGTCAACACACTTTAGTGTGTGTGTGTGTGTGTGTGTGTGTGTGTGTGAGTATCTGTAGCAGCTAGGTGGGTCAGCATTGAGGAGCATGTGTGTGTACACTTCTCTTCACTTTACTGCACTCATCAACTCTTGAAAAATTACATGGGATTTACAGCTTCACTTTTCATCATAATCAGTAAGGTAGGTTTTGAATTTGGGTAATTGCTTTATATAATAATGAATTTTAAACCGATAAAATCATTAGGTGTTTTCGGACCAGACCGTTCTGGGGACTTTTTTTAAAAAGGAACTATCCACTAGGGAGTTCCCTGAGAACTATACTCTGTGGGGTCCCCACTGTTGCATCCACCAAAGTGCTCTGTGGATGGAAAGTATAGCAGCAACTTGAGTTACCGGAACAGGTGTTCTAAACACAAGTATTACAACTCTTTGCAAAATAAAATTTCCTTTAAATGTCGGTGGTACAAAAAGGCATGAATTGTCACTTTTAATGAGATGTATTTATTTTTGTATATAATATAATACGCAGGCATTGAGGCAACATGAGACTACCTGTTGTTAGTGGCATTGATAGTTCAGGCTCATTAATAGGCGAGGTCTACCTGTGTGCAGGATGATACCCACCTTGATCCCAAACATACCAGTACCCCGGCCATCATATTCCCAGGCCAGGGAAAATCTGGTCAAGGCTATCCCACCCAAGCTCCTTTGTCTGCTGGCCTGTGGAGGACTAGACTGTCGCTATGAAGGACCAGAGTGTTGGAAACAAAATCAGCAGGTCATCCGAGGTGTTTACTCCTCCTGGTGAGACTCCGTGTCTATATTCTTAAAGTTGTGCTGTGTGTGTGTTTTGTGTGTGTATGTGTGTGTGTGTGTGTGTGTGTGTGTGTTTGTGTGTGCTGTGTCAAGAACATTAATTACTACCTGACTTATTAAGAATGTCTTTCTGCTGCAGGGTGACAGATGACATTATTGCCATGGCAAGGCCGTCAAATTGTCTGATAGAAACGTACAAGATGATAAACCAATTTCAAAGGTAATCACTTTTCATTATAACACCTGTAATGTTTGTGTTGTTCTTTTGTTTGTCTCATACAGTAAGAGGAACTTTGTTAGAGGGTGTGACAAGATTAAGTCCCCATGTACTCACTTTTTGATTTTGAGTCACAAAAACAGAACTAGCATTAACTGTTATCTTCATAATTTCTCTGGTTTTTTTTTAGGTTGAACATCAAGTCAATCATCAACATGCAGCTGCCAGGGGAGCATGCTCACTGTGGACCACCACTGGACCTTCAAAGTGGTTTCACCTACTCTCCACAGACCTTCATGGAGAATGACAGTAAGATCTCAATACAGTAATTAAACTGTAGATAGAACCATTGGGTATTTTTGTTCATATATAAGATTACTTTTTTTTTTTTTTTTATTTAACCAGGAAAAAGTCTCATTGAGATTAAAAATCTCTTTTACAAGAGCGTCCTGGCCGAGACAGGCAGCAGCACAATTACAGGGTTTCAGACATAAGAACACTTAACAACAATGAACATAAATACAGGAATCACAAAAAGAAGCATTCATCAGAATCTGTCATAAGTCATCAGCAACAAAGCGATTAAAAAGGGCAATACGAGTTAGCTAAAAACATCTACAGTCAGATGTTTCTGCCTCCAGATCATTAAGACGACCTTCAAGGAAACCAGCTCCGGAAAATTTAAAGTATCTTGCGACCGATTCCAAGAAGAGGGAGCAGCATACTTGAACACCCTTTTTCCTAATTCAGTACGGGCTTTAGTGATGGTTAGAAGGTGTAGATGGTAACTTCCATTACTTTTTTGAAGTATGTAGCTCTGTAGGAAGGATGGAAGCAGACCGAGAATACCCTTATGAATAAAAATATGCCAGTGGTTTAGTCTACGTGCAGACAAGGCAGACAACTTAAAAACTGCTCTCTTTAATTCTCTATCATTTATAAAATGTGACAAATGATTGAACAAAACCCGTTGAAGTTAGATCAGTATTATGACAGTTGCTATTTGTGCAAATGGGGGCAACAACTTTGCTTATACAGCAAAATCTGTGTTTCAATGTTATGTAGTTGTAGTAGTAAGTATCTCTATCATATCATCACTTAGAGCAGGGGTTCCCAAAGTGGGGGTCGAGAGACACTGGGAGGGGGGTCACGAGTTGTCTTCCAAAAACAAATGCAAACTGGAAATGACTTGAAATTTACATATTTTACCTTTTATTGTGAAATTACATACAAAAATGTTGTTCAATTAGTTTAAGGCTTATTGTTGTTCTAATGTCAGTGTTTGGATAGGCCCATTAGTGTGTGCTGCTGTGTGCACTGTTATGCTTTAACTACTTCCAGGAACAGAAGGGGTCCCCGGTCTCTCGCATCGTTATTTGATGAAAAGTTTGGCAACCCCTGATTTAGAGTATGTTCCTAAAAGAATTCATGTATGCACATGTTTGTTTATTTGCAGTTTACTTTTACAACTTTGGGATGCCAGATTTCGGTGTGTCCTCCCTCGTCGGTGTAATCGATGCAGTGAAGGTTCTGGCCTTTGCGGTGAGGGAGGGAAGAGTGGCTGTGCACTGCCATGCAGGCCTTGGCAGGACAGGTGGGAATAAACAAACATCCTGTTTTTAGTTAAGCGTTACGTATGTTCATTATATTAACATGCTGTCTGTAATCTTGCTGTTACACAGGTGTCCTGATAGCCTGTTATCTGATCTACACACTGCGCATCAGCCCGAGTGAGGCTGTCCACTACGTGCGGATAAAACGTCCCCGCTCTATCCAAACCCGGGCACAGATTAGCCAGGTGTTTGACTTTGCTCGTCTGCTTAGCACCCAGCTGGTCCAATATCCGGACCTCGGCCTGCGGCATGGAGTCCCCTTCACCCTGCAGCACTACCTAAACCGCCAAGCCCTGCTGCTGCACGGCCAGGAGGCACGCACACTCAGACACACACCTAAGGTCAGGACTTTATTATAGTACTTCATATTCGAAAAACTCAGTGGCGACCGTGCCTTCTCAGTGGCTGGCCCTCGTCTGTGGAATCAACTGCCTCCCTCCATCAGACAAATCAACTCATTAGATTCATTCAAATCAAAACTCACCTTTTTTTTATATGTTTGTGTGTGTGTATTTATGTGTATCTATATGTATATATATGAATAGATGGATTTTTTTATTTCTTTCTTTTTATGCATTGCCTGTAAAGCACTTTGGTCAGATGAAGCTGTTTTTAAAGGCTTTATGTGCGTATATATATCAAGTATATCCTCTGAAAATAACTCTGTGAGTCATGACTGTCTACAATGGGTGTAACACCCGAGTCCACTGTCTGTGATGTTTTCCCAATTTTCGGAGTCCTATCTTCAGTTTGTTTACTCATGTATAAAATTTGTTTAATTGAGGGACTAGAGAAAAGAAGAATAACATACTGTACTCACTGCTTAACTGTGTTTCTAGATCACGCTCATTTCAGGTAAATTTACATGCAGTGTGAAGATACAAGCATAATAAAGATCGCTAGCATTAGCATGCTAACACAACAATGCAGCGCGAGTTGTTTTGGTTTCATGCTGCTGGATCAAAAAATCGCATATAAAGCCTTTAAATGTGCTATACAAATAAACTTGATTTGATTTGATTCATTATTTACCTCCTCGTTTTTTCTGACCTCCTTGACCCTCTCACCAGGTGGTGTACCTCCTGTGTGTGCGTCTCTGCTGCTTGGCCCTCGGCCTCCCTGCTCCTTCAGCGGTCCATGCTGAACTGGAAAAGAGGTCAGAACTGAGGTCCCTAGGCCGGATCGTGAGGGAGACCCTCCTTGACCCTCTCACCAGGTGGTGTCCTTGACCCTCTCACCAGGTGGTGTACCTCCTGTGTGTGCGACTCTGCTGCTTGGCCCTCGGCCTCCCTGCTCCTTCAGCGGTCCATGCTGAACTGGAAAAGAGGTCAGAACTGAGGTCCCTAGGCCGGATCGTGAGGGAGACCCTGGTAGCCAAACAGCACCTGCCCTTACTAAGGGAGGGTCATCAAGGCTCGTGGGTGGACGCAGATTCAGTTTCATCGTGGAACGAGCCACTGGGATTCTTCGAGAGGAAGAGAGAGGCGTTATTCGACAAACGCAGCTACAGTGACTCTGACCTCAGCAAGATCGCAGTGAGCGAGGTGCAACTTGTTTAAGAATTTAATGAAGTGAATAAATTGTCTTTTCCTATCAAAGTGTTTCTAACTGTGTTGCATCTGTCGTTTAGTATCTGGAGATGGGCCCATTCTGCACCCCAGCACTTGGACATGTGAAAGCACTGGCATTTGCAAGTCCTAATAAGACCTGATCTGCGATCAGCAAATCTGATCCTTTCACCGAGCCACCAGATCACCAAAAAGGAATCTCATGAAGGACAAATCCCTATTTCAAGCACAAGAAAAAGCTGTGCTAAGAGGTCAACCTGTCCAGCTAAAGAGCGTCTTTCTAAATCCAGCTCCTACATTGAGGTACCTTTGATTCTTGGAAAGCTTAATGATGCAGAAAACTTTTCATACATGCACTAAAACATTCACAACCTCTGTTTATTAAGCTGTGCAGAAACTCCCATAATCCAGGCTCGACCTCGGCTGTCCGTGCTGTTGCCAAAGCAATGGCTGAACCAGCTCCTCCAGGGGAAACCATCCTGCAAAGATCAGCTCTGCTGCAGGTTAAAAAAAAAACATTTTTTTCATTAGAAAGTATCAGTATGTTTTAAAGCTCTGAAGAAACTGGATACATACTATAATAATAATTTCCACAGGAAGAGCTGAACAGCAGCGACTGTGGCTGGGCTCTGCTGGTTACCGAGTCAGATCCTCATGTTCTCAGTTGTCTGTTATGGACCTGGTTGGAAAGGCTGAGGGTCAGTGGTATAATGTATGAAGGCATACTGCCAGTATTCAAAATATGAAGACAAATATTAAGCCTTAAATTGTTAGGCTTATTTTTTTGGTTTGCAGTTTCTATTCTAAATCAAAACATGACACTCTTTTCCTTTTTCTTACCTCATCCAGGAGCCAGTTCTGAGAGCAGAGGATGTAGACAGGCTGAGTCGAGGAGCAGACAACCCGAAGCCTCTCAGTGTGCTAAAGAAGGTGAGGCATCATATGAGAAGTCATCTTTAAATCTTATCTTGCCTCATCATACAACCTATGAGTTTAAAAACCTCTTCAGCAAAACATTTTTTTATATATTTTCATGCATTTATTGCAGCCACAGAGACACACCATCTACTGTCTGCTGAGCTGTGTGAGTACAGTGAGCAGGTTTTGTCCACACAGAGAGGATGCATTGCTGTCAAGACTGATGAGGACACTAACACGAGTATGATTGAGTCTGGGGTATTTATAGATACCTTTGATATGAAGGTGTTAAAGTTTCACAACTGATTTTCTTTTTGTCTTACCAACAGCGCCCCCAAGAGGAAATGGAAAGCCTTTCAACTTTGATGAAAGTCCTGAAGGCGAGTTTGAGAGAAACCTACCGCAACTATAGAAACCTCAACAGAACCTGCAGCACCAATTGAAGCGCTGCACTGAAAATAAAATAAATAAATAACAAAACTGTTTTTATTTTATGTAAGTCATATTTAATCCTATGAACAGGATAGTAGGTGAATTAGTAATTTAGTGCTTAGTATTTATATATACCCTCTATGTATTCTAAGTAGGTGTAAAGGTTGGGACCCTCATATTGTTCCCTGTGTTGAATGTTAAACGATTACTCAAAATACAGTGCCCAAATTCAATTTCATTTTGTAACTCATACAGTTTTTAATGTTCAGTACAACTTTTGTTTGATGTAAACTTAAATTAAGACTCTGTTTGGACCTAATAAGTTATTGTAGCTTACGAGCTACAATAACTTATTTGGTCCAAACAGAGTCTGTTTCAGCCTTTCAACCTAATAAATCATTTACAACACTTACGTGTTATGTTTTTACATTTTGGGCATTCCTGCACACACACATACACACACACACACATACACACACACACACACACACACACACACACACACACACACACACACACAACACACACTCACTCTCTCTCACACACGCACACACCCCCCACACACGCACACTCTCCCTCATGTACCCATTAAGAATGCCTGTCATAGAGTCATCGCTATGGCAACGTTGTCATAGCAAAGTTGAAATCGCTAAACAGTTTTTTGTTTGGGTTCAGAGCACATTTGTGTGCTCTGGGGATATAACCTGACACAGAGTGAATCTCAGGGGAGGATCAGCAGTTTAATCAGGTAAAACTATTTACTACTTATTCTTTTGAAGTCACTTTCTAAACTCAACTTAAGGCAGTCAGTGATGTATTCATTTATATGAACTTGGTAAACATTGTGATACTAAATCCACTGTGATGGTTTGGTACACTTCACCTACAAATGATGATTTTACTGTGAACCCTGATGTTTGTTTACATATTTAATTAGATTAACTAAACACTGCTGTACCTAACGCTGCTGTGAAACACTAGGAGAGTTTCAGTAGGATCATTTAAGATTCACCTGCCTGCTGCTTTTCAGCAAGTGCTCCCTTCATAAAGTGTGACTATAGTTTAAGAAATGATCAACTATGCAAGACAAAGAGATTGATATTACTAAATCTAATAAACATATAAAATGTGGTTCATCATTTAACTTTTCTTTTTATGACACATTGGTTTATTAATTTTAGTTTGTGTTTGTTGCGGTAATCAAAATTCTTAATCTGAGTATTGCAAACACAAACACAGCCTGAAAATCACAATCAATCTCATTCTCAGGGTCATGTCAAACAAGGAAGCCTGGGTTGGGACCTGGAGGCCCCACAAGCCAAGAGGGCCCATTGCTGCCCTTTATGGTAGCCCGGGGCCCAAATATGCGCTGCCTGGACTGACAGGTAGAGACAAAATGACCATGAAGACACAGATTATTGTTTTGTTTTTTCAACATTAGCAACAGTTACTATTACAAATATTAACTGGCATTAACTAACTGTACTTTTTCCCCCATAAAGGAAACACTAAACATGATCCGACTAAAGGCAAAGCACCCATGTACAGCTTTGGGATACGTCATCATCAGCCCAATCATGACTCCTCCCCTGGACCTAAATACCTCATCCCCTCTAACATCACCAGATCAGGCCGAGATGGCACACCGGCATTTTCACTCCACAGCCGTCAAAAGGATCCTGAAGTGTTCAAGGCCCCTGGACCAGGTCAGTCAAACCTCTGGCATAACAAAAAAATATATATATTGGTAATCCTAGACACATGAGGACTACAAAATAAGGAACTTTCTTCATTATGTAGGTGACATTTGAGTTAAGCTGTCAGCAGTGTATTCATATGAATGTATTTGGTGTTTCAGGTAAATATTCCCCAGAGAATTCAGAAAAGTGGATCTTCCGCTCTTCTCCGGCTTATTCTTTAGCTGGAAGGAGCAAAGAAGAAAGCACTAACCAAACACCAGGTAACATGTTGCATTTTACTTTTTTAAACATTTAGACAACAAAGTTTCATTGCAGAGAACATACATTCACCTGTTGCTTATATATTGCAGGTCCAGCCGCTTATAGCCTGCCTCCTGTGTTCGGGTCTAAAACTGTGGGTAAAACTGCAGCTCCCTGCTTCTCCATCTGCGGCCGCAGCAAAACTGGAAACTTCGATGAAGACCTGAAGAATGTATGTGTATAAAGTATCTAAAAACACATTTTTGGCAGATGTAAAAAATCATGTTTTTTACTGTTGTCCTCTATTCCTCGTCTTCTTTTAGACTCCTGGCCCTGCTGCCTACAAAGCTGTGGACCCATATATTTACATGAAAAAACCTCCACATTTCAGCATGACAGGCCGCAACTACACACCGTGTGATTCCACAATGAAACCAGGCCCGGGTGCACACTATCCTGAGAGGGTAGGTGATCTTCCAATTGTTTGTAATTTGATCACCCTAAAAAAAAGGTCTGACATATTTAGCATTTTGTTGATTTTATTTTCTCTTCTCCCAGGTGACCAACACAAGAGCAAAAGCGCCGAGCTTTTCATTTGGACTGCGTCACTCAGAATACATCGCCCCCCTCATTGAAGATGTGCTTGAATAATGTCAGGTGTGATCTCTTTTTTCACCAGGTAATGTGCACAGCGTGACCAAATAAAATACAAAAAAGCAAAGTGCTCTGTGATTACATTTTATTGTCAGTTACAGGCCCTCTTGTATTGCTAGGCTTCTTGTTGTCACTGTGTTTTTGAACACTATCAGTATTTAAAGTAAATCATAAGAATTTTAATTGCACAACGGTCATGTGACATTTTTTATTTCCGTAATATAATCATATTTTGCAGGGAAGATATTTCTTAGAGGTTAGGCAATAACTTTTTTATGGTCTGTTTGATATATTTTTGTTGTTGTTAAAGTCCCTGTAAAGTGAAATCAGCAATACGTCTCCAAGCACGCTAAATATGTTGCAAGAGGATAGCTTTAAACATGTGAAAAGACTGAGAACTATGTTTGATTGATTTCCGATTTTTGACAGTTTTTACGGTTTTCTCAATTTTCAGTTCTAGGTTTTAATGGGCGGAGCTAAATCGGGTCGTTATTACGTAGATCGGCCTTTCATCTCAACGTTCCATGCTAAAAACTCTGAGCGCTGTAGCATCTTCTAGCTAGCTATGCCCTTGGCAGCAAGTGTATCTTCCCTGGATGTCAGTGACAGCTCGGTCTGTTTGTTTAAATTCCCCGGATGAAGAGATGAAGAACAGGTGGATTAGCTTTGTGAAGTGGTACCACGATGGATAGCTGGTGTTCACTAATATCACCAGCCTCTGCAATGCCCACTTTTTCCCCGATGGTTTTGTCAACTTGGTTAACCGCCTTTGGCTGTTTAGTGGGGCCCGAAACGTCTGTCTCTCCCCCCTGACCGTCACCTGCCCGCTTCGGAGACACCTGGCTCCTTCACGGACAGTGGATGCCTGCATGTGAGGGTAAGTTTCCCTTTTTTGCTACATGTTAATCGTTAATCTATATCAAAGTTTTTGTTGGGAAGTGAAATAATATAACGTGATTATATTGTGTAGCCTAGCATGATGACCACGCTGCAACAGCCGCGGATCTCCCTTAATCTCCGCTAGTAGCACGGCTATTGTTGATGTTGTAAATGATTCCTTCTGTGTCTAAATAACCAGACAGAGATGGCTTGAAACGGCGCGTCTGTGACCGCCACCACGCCACTGTCTGGCTTCCTTTACGCACGTCCCTGACTGCCTTTACGCGGTTCTCTGACCGATTACTGCACGTTATTTTACTGCACTTTAGAGATTATTATACGTGTCAGTATTATCATTAACAGTATATTTCATTAGTGAAGTGTCTGACGTAACTAGGACAGAGATAATATACTGCTCCTTTTAGTTTATAACGTATACATCTGGAGAGAATTTGTATCTGAAGGAGATTTAGGAGTCCCCTCAAGTTGAATGTTTACTTTAAGGTGTTGTGTAAGGGAATTGCCAAATATGGATGTGTTACTTGATGGTTTTTATGACCCATGACGAATGCATATAGGAGATTGTCTCTGTATATTCGGGGGAGATCATTTTTGGCTGGGTCTCTGCCAGGTCGAACCATGGCGAGCCTGGAGATGCTGCTTGTTAATAAAAATTATACTCTTTGAAAGCAAGTCAGTCTCAACGGTGAATTTCTTCATCATCAAACATATCAACAACAAGGAAATCCACATCAATTTTGGCGTCACGAACAGGATCAATTGGGGCCTTCTGCAGTGGACGAGAGCTTCAATGGGTGCATTCCTCTATCACCTCAGAGCGTGAGTGTCTGTTTTTACATACATTGAGAAGCTGATTCTGTCTGCAAATTTGGCTCCACTGTCAAAGAACTGAAGTGCAATGATGTGTTGATGTTGGAGTAATTCTCCGTCTAAATTGATGTTTATTGAGTTAAAAAGTATGTAATTAAAGGGGAATAAAGAAAAGAAAACAGAATAAGTGATAAATAAAAGAAAAGAGAATAAAGTTGAAAGGTAATGTTATAGGATAAGCGCAACGAGTAACGAGACCAGTTAGCTAAATAACCATGCGAGTTTAACAAGGACAGGGCCCGCATCCTCTTAACAGTAAGTCATGTGTAAATTAGACACTGAAGTGAAAGTTGGCTTTAAGAAGTAGTCAAATTGAGTAAAAATAAAAGTAAAATAAAGGGGATCCCTGGCCAGGGGAATTGGAATTAAACATATAATGTAGGAAATAAAAGATAAAAGAGAGGAAATAAAGATGAGAAATAAAGAAGAGAAGTAAAAAGATGAAAAGTGAAGATGAGAAATAAAAATGGAATAAAGTTTTGAGAAAAGTGGAAAAATCAACTACTATCAGGTCAACTACACGCCTTATTGTCAATAATAATAATAATAATCCTTCATCAAATCAAAACTGATGAGTCATCAAAACATTCACCCCCCGTAAAAACAGACTTCTTTGAATGTAGTTTTTCAGATTAAATAAATATTTCTATATAAATGCACTCCTTTGTCTCTACTTATGAGTATACAACATTTTAGATTTGAAATGACAAGACTTCAATTGTGCATTATTGCTCAACTCAATAGCTAAGGGAAGGAAGTCTACTTTTACACAACTTTGTCTTCTATTGACATTTGTTTTTACCAAATACTAATTCAGTTCATTTCTGAAAATGGGATGGAACAGAGTCATTGCAAAAATATGCCCTTAAACACAGCCCCATTCTTAAATCAAGATACATGGAGAGTAAATAAGTTTAATAACTTGTGAATAAAAACAGTTAAAATGATTTAGAAATGTAGTCTTCCCAGATTAGTATCACATAATATCAACTTCTCCCATCTAAACTGGACAAAGGGTTTTAAAGTGGGAAGAAAATGGTTTGATTGCAAGTTGTTTGGAGGAGATCTATTTTTATTTGAACAGCATGAATACAGTCTTCCAAGGTGCAAACCCTCCTCTTCCTGAAGCTTGTGGAGCTCCTTGATGTACTGCCGTCTTATCTGCTGGCCATCTTCTCTCACCAGAACTTCGACTGTTGAAAAGTCATTCTGAAGAAGCTCGAACATGTGACGTGGATCCAGGAGAACATGGACTTTTAGTGCGGGGTCTTCAGGATGGCAAAGAAAGAGAGAAAATATCAGTTATTCATTAAATCAATTTGTTTGTGCATTTTCTGTGTTCATCTGTGTGTAAGAGTACATTTATAAATTCAACAGTGTACTACCCAGACAACAAAGGTACAGTATTCAGGTAATCAACATCTATTCAAAGTTAAGAAGATAAACCTTATTGTAATCATGCTATTTTCAGCTCTCTCACTCACACAATGATATTCCACATCAAATTGCCTCAGATTTTGGAGGAAAAATTGAGCAGTTTATCGTGGATAGTACTTCATCTTAACATGAAACAGATATAACCTGAATTATTTAAATCATTAACAGGTCCCAACTCTCTCTACTACACAAAGTGCAATATACAAACAGCCCGAAAACAGTGCCATGGCTGGTCCTCCTTTAATATTTATCTGTCTTGTATGTATTTACGGCTTTAAACCTGCAGTCGTTGTGGATCCTGACTAGTGTGCTCTTACCTATCACCTGAGCTGCTACTGACCAGCTGGCCTTTAATTGATGTCTGCCAATTATTTTTTTCCAAAATAAGCGATTGAGGGACAAAGATAAATCACTCAACGTGCTGACTATATAATCAAATATCAAATATATATTTATACAAAAATGTAAACACAGTTGGTTTCACAGTTTGATCTTAATGTGTGCGACATGGTGCAAGTTGGATTTTGAATGATTTGGATCAGTGCAGCTGTGCAGTGTTCACAATCTAAAATATTGGATAGAAACACCATTAAATGATCTTAAAATGGATTATTAAGAGCACTTTTCTCAAACTTTTTTTCTGGATTTTATGTTCCATTTTTTCCCTTTAAATATCAAGAAAATGTTTGCTTGTAATGTTATGTCTTTTTTCCCCTCACACGTATCATAACATTACAGCTTTAGAAGATGTTAGCACATTATCTAGGAACATTTTTAATTTCTTGCAAAAGTGGTTCCCTCTTTTGGTTAAAGATCATTGTACATGCAAGTTTTCTGTTTCTGCAGGAGTGTGAACCGGTGGGGAGAGATGTGTTGATTTGTGGGATATGAAGTTTGTTTACTAGTAAACATGTAGCTGAGTCATTGTAAATTAATGGTTATTTTCCAGCTGAAGAGCCCTTTGGGCAGCATGTCTTTTGTTGTCTTCATGGTGTAAGATGTGAAGTGCAGTATTTGAGTGCTAATACCTCTCATGTCTGTAAAATAATCAGATGAAGTTGATGCTACTGCTGCAGGAACAGTTTTTGTTTGATGTGTCATTTTTTTCTATTTGAGTGATGTGTCTTATAAATGATTTCCTGAGTTTTGTTTAGAATTGTTAAAAGTTGTGTGCATGTTCTTTTTTTTTCTCTTTCACAGTAGTGGTCATTACTTGTGAAGGGTGTTGCCAAATCTGCTGTATTTATCTCTTTACCATGAAACCTTGAAGAACCCTTAAGCCAACCTGTATATAAATAAGTTTACTTTTTGAATGTGGAGTTTTTGCATTGAATTATTTTGTTTGCATGTAATTAAGTTGCTCTTTTTCTGCATGTTTTCCTCTGTGTGCTTGCTTGTCTTTGTATTTTGCTTTTTAAAAGGCAAAGGGGGGTTGTCATGTGACCTAAAGCTCAGCTCTGAAGTGGGAATCCCCATTAAATGTGACTGTAGTGTTTTCAGTTAGAGCTTCGTGTAAAGGCCAGGACGAACAGCTCAGTCTGCCTCTCGTTTACTGGCTTCATTTGAAAGAAACCGTCTTCTTTGTCCCCTAAATGTACTGAAACAGTCTGGACTGCGTCTTGCAACTTTTCACCCAAACCATGCTATGTATGTAATATCTGTTTTTATAATAAATATTTTAATCATCACTCTTTTGTGTTGTCACTCATTCTTGAAAGATATCAAAAACAGTGGGGTTAATACAGACAATTATTTTCAGAGTAATTCCATGTGTTGTAGCCTTAGCAGGA